TTTTGTGTTATTTCCTATTTTAATGAACTAATTTAAATTTAATTCTTATGTGAATCATAGCCAGGTCAACAGCTGCGAGCTTTTTGATACAATTAATTATTTTCAGCTGTCTCTGCATGAAACTAAATAAGAATGCAAACTAATATTTCAACTCTTGTCGCTAGATCGCTGAATGCATCAACATAATGAACAACATTCTGAAGTTGATCTATCGGCCGGACGTGGGACCCACACATAATGACGTGCGCGACATTATGATTATATTGCTGCGTCCGGTAATGAAGGCGGCGCACTCGCTGGATCGGGATACTGGCGTGGTGGGCCAGTTCTTTGCCATTATGCTGGGCATACTGCAGCGCCTGGATGCGCAGCACTACAAGTACTTTGTCAACGATCTGCATCAGCATGGTGAACTGAAGGACTTTGTCATCGAGATTTTGCTCGTCTTCGAGGAGCTGGTCTCTCCGCATCAGAAGCCCGTGTTCCCGCGTGACTGGATGGACATGATCATGCACCAGAATACGGTCATACTCGGCGCATTGCAGCAATTGAGCATGGTCATCACGGACTACTTTCTGTGCCCGGTGTTTGACAAACAAATCTGGTCAAACTTCTTCCAATGCTCGATTGCGTTCCTGGTGCAATCGCCGCTGCAGCTGAACGACTTTAATGACAACAAGCGGCAGATAGTTTTCGCCCGATATCGGGACATACGCAAGGATACGGCCAAGGAGATACGCAAGATGTGGTTCCAGCTGGGCAAGCACAAGCCCAAATTCGTGCCGCAATTGGTTGAGCCCATATTGGAGATGAGCATGATACCCGAAACTGACCTCCGACGCGAGACAATACCCATTTTCTTTGATATGATGCAGTGCGAGTATTACAGCTCACGCTTGGAGTTGGAGAGCTACGGCGACACCAAGAATAACAATGCCCACTACAAGGGTAACTTTTCCGAGTTCAAGACCGCAATGATCGAAAAGTTGGACATTCTGATAGGCGCGGGTAAGTGCTGAGCTTGAACACATTTGTAAGCCTTTCCATAACTCTTCCTCATTCCGATCTTCTTTCTCAGGCAAGGGCGATACAGAGTATAAGGAGCTGTTCAAAACGATCATGCTGGAGTACTGTTCCGCCCACAGCACGCTCAATGTGGACGGCACCAGCTTTGTGAACATGGTGACAAAGCTGATGGATAAGCTGCTCGAGTATCGCTGCATCATACAGGACGAGAGCAAGGAGAATCGCATGGCCTGTACGTTCTCGCTGCTGCAGTTTTACTCGGAGGTGGATCTCAAGGAGATGTACATACGCTACGTGTACAAGCTGTGCGCCCTGCACATGGAATTCGATAACTATACGGAGGCGGCATTTACGCTTAAGCTGCATATGGATCTACTGCACTGGACCGATGCAGAATTGTCGCCCCAGTTGCGCAGCTATCGCCATATCAGTTGCCGAACCCATCGGGAGCTAAAGGAGGCCCTCTACTTTGAGATCATGGAGTACTTCGATAGGGGCAAGCAGTGGGAGTGCGCAATTACTATGTGCAAAATACTGGCTCAGCAGTACGAGGAGGAGGTCTATGATTACATTAAGCTGGCGGAGCTGCTGAAGCGAATGGCTCAGTTCTTTGAGAAGATAGTCAAGGAGCTGCGCCACACCTCCGAGTACTTCCGTGTGTGTTTCTATGGGCTCGGCTTTCCACGTCTATTGCAGAACAAAGTGTATATCTTTCGGGGCAAGGAGTACGAACGTCATAGCGACTTTTGCTCCCGTATGCTGGTGCAACATCCACAGGCAGAGCTTATGCAAACGCTGGAGGCGCCGGGAGAGGATATAACCAACAGCGATGGCCAATACATACAGGTCAATAAGGTGGAGCCGATAATGGACGCTGCCTTTTCCAAGTTTAACGATAAGATCATCTCCAATGAGATTGTCAAGTACTTTACATTCAACAATGTGCAAAAGTTTCAATTCTCGCGCCCATTCCGCGACAGCTCTGGCGGTGGAAACATGGACGATGTACGCAATCTTTGGTTGGAGCGAACCGAACTCATTACACAGTATCCACTGCCTGGAATTTTGCGCTGGTTTCCCGTTGTTGATACGCATACGTTTAAAATTTCACCAATTAAGCGTGCCGTGGAGATTATGAAAGAGACCAATAAGGATATTAGACAGTTGGTCATACTGCATCAACACGATTCCAGTCTCCACATAAACCCGCTGAGCATGAAACTAAATGGCATTGTGGATCCTGCCGTTATGGGCGGCTTTGCCAAATACGAGGAAGCATTCCTCACAGACGAGTATTTACTGCAGCATCCGGACGACAAAGATCTGGTTGAGGAACTAAAGGAACTGATCGCAATGCAAATACCTCTACTGCAGTGTGGTATGTTTCCTAAATAAATATTTTTTTAGAAGTGTACATCTAATTATATTGTCAATCTTCAGCTATTCGACTGCATCGGCAAAAGGCGCCGGAGAGCTTAAAGGCGCTGCAGGATCACTTGGAGGTTTGCTTTGCGGATATGCAGCATCACGTGGAATCGCGCTATGGACGCAAATCGTGTGATTTGCAAGTGGAGAGAGATTCGGTGATAATGCGACGCACGAGCTCTTTTCTGCCCGCAATCTTCGACGGTAGCAACAATCGACTGTCGGAGACCAGCATGGGCTCTTCAGAGTAAGTCCCAAAGCTAATGAATTAATGGGTAAATCAATGCTAATCTTTGACACAATTGCAGCAGCGGTTTGTCGAAGTCAACCTTCCTGCCGCGGCCGCCCACAAGTTCCATCAAGTCCACTCTGGCCAGCTTAAGCTTTAACACCAGGTGAGCTACATATAATTAAGAATATGCTACCTTAACTAATACTAACTTTAATACTTCTTTTTAACACACTTTAAATTTGCTCGCTGGACTTTAGTTTGAGACTTTAAGTTCTTTTCTTTTGGTTTTATTTTATTTTGATGCATGTTTGGTTTATTTGTTTTACTTTTGCTTACATTTGTTGCTTATTGTCCACGCTTACATAGACCTAGCCTGGGACACACGCCTAGCACCAAAGGCAACAAGAACAAGGAGAAGCCGGCCAAACGGCGCTCTATGAAAAAGGTAACTAAACTCTTGCTTAATATAAGTGCATCAGTTATATAACAGTGTATTCTTGCAGGATCGTGATGTATTAAGTCTGCCGGTCGCCAATAGCCAGTGGTATACGCCGCCACTGACGACCATAACCTCAACGCCTGAGAAAGAAATCAACACCTCTATCAATTCACTGGCAAGCGCCTCGAATAGCTCTTTATGCGGACCGAAAACACCCGATCCTCGCGTACTCACAGAAGAGGTAAGAGACGTTAGTCAACCACTCATATTTACCGTTTCTGCTAACGATGCTAACGTCACATTCAAATAGTTGACACCCAAGCGACCACTGCGCTCTGAAAAAGAAAAGGAACGCCGTCTCTCGCGACCAGTCAGCATTCCAACGCCATCAGCTAGCATTAAAAACTTTACGGACATACGATCCCTCTCCGAGAGCAGCAATCGCAATTCAGTTGGTAAGCGCCATATGGAAATTCACTTTTGAATTGTTTATTATTCTCTATATAAACTTTATAGAAACGACCGATTCCACGTCGGAGGAGGACATACGACCACCACCCTTGCCCGCCAAGACACGTGATTCCACGGATTTTAGCAGCCTAACCCACAGTCTAGACTGGAACCCCAACGGCTATACTATGCTAAACGTACTGAACAGCAGTACTTGCACCAACAGCAGCATCAGCATGAGCACTACTACAATGACAAAGACCAGTATTACAAACGCCACGTATGAGTATGTGGAGGCGACAAATTTCGGTTTGCCTAGCATAAGCGATGCTAGCAAACCACGTCCTCCGACTCCACCGCCAAAACCATCGCGTCACAGTAAACACATTCCATAGACAAACGCATAGGAGTCGCAGCTGCTGCTGCCAGTGCTGCGCCATAGATGAAACGAAAAGATGAGCAAAGGAGCGAAATCCGTTGTCAACGAGCAAGCATCGAGTGCCAAATATTTCTGTGTTAGTAACATGCATATACATATATAAAGAATCGAGCAAAATCAACACACAACAATAGCCTCACATGACCGACTACCAAATACTAATGGCATCAGTGTCTTAACGAAACGATCGCACTAAATTTAAGATAAATGTTTTGAAGGCGCTTGGTAAGCCCAATCGTATTTAATGTTAAATGTTGCAATGATATTATGTTGAACATGTCATCATTTCTATCTAAGTCGATAGTCTATTTATGTAAAAGATAAATCTATGTTTCTTTTAATTTGTTTTCGAACAAAATGCAATACGCACACAAATGCTGCTTGTCTTCCACAAGTTTGTATTCTGCTATACAAAATCAAATCGTTTACACTATTGTTGTAATAATATTTTAAGCGTTTATATTTAATTTTAAGTTCTAATCAGATTTGAAAACAACTTCTTGAGTTTCTTATGCAAACAAGTGCCACACAATCTATAACAAAAAGTTTGTCAATTTAAAGCACAAAATGCGTTGAAAATCTAATTTCAGTGCAGGCAATACAAAATCATTGAACATGTTGTTAACAATTAGCCAAATTTTTATAAACGAATAAAGAAAATATATTTACACGCATATTTTATAGTAGCCATAAAGTCAATTTGAAATACGTAAATTTTACTCGTGTACTTTTCACAATGAACAAATAACTTTTTAATATTGTTATAAGCTATACATGAATGTTTTTGATATATACACTTACAACTAGCTGTAGGAAGAACTTTGTGTAATTTTATGTAATTTTCGATCTGTGCATCGGCCAAAGATTAAGTAATAATAAAGTATAATTAAGCCTGAAAAGTCTCTAAACATTTATTTGGATCAGATATTCAGAGCGCATTGCAGACGGACTTGGAGCAAACACATACGCACGGAAATGAAACAAAATAATTTGTTAATTTGTTATATTTGGTTATAAAACTTTATTCAAAATATTTCGTTGGGTTGAATTGTATATTGAGCATAAATTACAATAATTATTAGTAGATGAACACATTATAAAAAAGTCGAAAAAATACATGTTAGGTTTTAGGACTGATGGGCACTTTGATTTAGGCAAAGAAAATGGCTTTTTTTTTTTTTTTTTTTTCAAAGAGAAGGCACAATTAGTGAGTTAAATAGGAGAGGCTAATAAATAAATATTCAAATGCACGGAATGTTTCGTTGTTAAAGCAAAGCGTAGACTTTAAATTTGAGACCAAAGTAAAAGAGATAGGAAGAGAGTCTTATAATGTTGTATTCAGATCGACACAAATCTTTGAGTTGCGATTCTGCTTCTGGCTTATCTCGAGTACTTGGAACATCTCCTTCAGAGCTTCGCTCGTTTTGGTTTTTCGACGATTGCGGCGCAGCGTCACACGTCCAGATTTGAATTCGCGCACTATAGCGTCAAGACCTGCAAGATGATAAACAAAATTAGAGCATACTATAATATTGAGACGTGAAGTCAGCTAGTGAAGTTAAAATTGACATGCGGTTAGCTTATTAGATTGATAATAACCTTTGCCCAACGAAAAGACAGAAATTACCTTTGGCGCAGCTAGCAGGCAACTTAAGGGAGCTAAGGTTTTTAAATTGAGGATTTTGATGCTGTGGCAAATATACATAAATCACGACAGCATTGCCAATTGGCAACAACAACAACAGCAAGAGCAAAAAGGATGAAAAGGGGTCGGAACTAAGCCCACGCATTCAACAACTGTCAGCGACAACAAATGAAGTGGCTCACATTGCGTATGCGACTTGTTGTACCCAAAACGAAGTCAATGGAAATGTATGGTCTCTTGGTATGCGTGTGTGTGTGTGTGTATGGGAGGGTGTCTGGATGTATGTTTGTGTCTGCTTATAAGAAAGTGGCGCAATAAAACACGGAAATATAAAACGCATAAATAATAATAATAATAATAATAATAAGCCATAGCAGGACAACAACAATAACTGCGGAAACAACAATGAAGGTGTCAGACTCTGACTTGAGTTGGCTTGGCTGGGCTTGGAATGCGGCACCGTCGCTCGGTCTGTTGTTCAGTTTACTCGTAAAAATAATAAATGGCATAGTCCTCGCCTTCATCGAATTTGATACGCTGGCGACGGTCGAGCGTTGGATAACATAAAGCGCAGTAAACTGTGACTGAAACATGTAAACGCCTGACGGTTGCTTAAATCTAAAGCTGTCGCATAGACGACGGCCACAAGTCATTGGCAACACGCTTCCTTTTTGCGCTTTTGCTCTCTCTCTCTCTCTCTCTCACTTTCTCTCTAGAACTGCCCCAGTGAATGTTGCCAGGGCACTGGCCAGGAAGCCAGCTAATAGCGTGCAGCCAGCTTCCCAGCTCTGGGTTCAGCACGCAGAACAAATTTAAATCAATTCAGGTCGCAGGCATAATGTATACACATATACGTAGATGCTGCTCTGGTTCTATGTCAAAGTCAATTAATTTACACTAGCGGAAATTGGCCTAAGTGCTGCTCCTTGGAACTAAAGAGAGAGAGAGAGAGAGAGAGAGAGAGCCTGCAATAATGATCTAAAACAGAAAAGTGACTGATACAAGGCCAACCATTGCCATTGCTGATGCTTCAAGCTCAAGGATTGCCATGGCAATCTACCGCAGGATGGCTTGCTTATGCACAAACACAAACACACACACAGTGAAACATGTACAGGTTGGCTTCGCTGGCAAGCGACAACAATATTGTCGGAAACTTATTCGCTCAGTTCTCTTCATTTGTTTTTGTGCCGAGTGTGATGACGACGCAGAGCGATGCTGCTGCTGTTGTTGCTGTTGCTGTAGCTGCCCATGACGAGAACGAGCGCCAGGACACGAATGCCAGCACGCTGGCTAGCTGTAAACTTGCTGCTCACTTCGCTGCCAGCTCACACGCTTCAAGAGCTTCAAGTGACGCGCGCGCGTTTTTCGCAACCATCGCACGGCGTTTATCGGCCAGTTTGAGCACACACGGCATATAGATTGTTACGGCTGTAGCGACGTGTTTTAATAGTTCGCGCCTCGCACAATATGAATCCTGATTGATTTCAATATGTGCTCGTTACGCATACGCCGCGTTGTGCGCGCGCCAAAAAGCAACAACAACGGCAACGACAACTGCTGCGACAATAGCAATTGCAGCAACCGGAAACGGATGTGCTTAGTGCGACAGTGCGATAGTGCGACACTGCGACAGTGTGCGAGAGGCTGTTGTAATTGAGTAAGCTCGTAAGTCAATCATTGAGTGTGTTTCTGTTCTTGTCCTGGAGCTATGCAACATTAATGGGCGCTATTACAGTTATGAGCATGGGGCCTAAGCTCCATTGAAACTCGCAGCAGGCTTATACAGGTGTTTATAGATGTTGTTGTTATATTTTCCTCTGACTTAACTAATAGTCAACCTTGCCTTGGTTGACTACACTAAATTAATTCTCCGTCTGAAATTCAAACATTTTCCCTGGAAGGCAACTAAAGTCTTTTTATTTATTACGGGTCGATAGTTTACGTTTATCAATGCATATTTACTACATGTATTTTCAACCAGATATGTATATACATCTATTCTCATGCCTTTCACACTCACACTCGCGCACTCAAACATACACACACACAATCAGCCTTTCACTGACAGACATTTTTTTCTATTACATGCAACATGGTTTTTTTATATACCCTGAATCCATTGAAAATCGCAAAAGAAGGGCATATTAGTATAGTGAAAATTTATGCAGCAATATATATAGTGTAGTCGTATATAGTAAATGTATGATTGATCTTTATCTAAGTCCACTTTGTCAGAATGATTATGATTTCTGCTTGGCATACACAAATTTGAAATATTTCCAATTAAGTACCTTTATTTCTATTATTAAGTTTATTTTATGGTAAATAAACAGCCAAGCTCGAATTTATGTGGGTAAAAGGAACGTGGAGCAATACCACTACAGGATTTACACAATATTAAGGGTATCGCCTAGTCAGACACTCCCCATACAGAACTTTCAGTTGTTTCATATAGATATGAGTGCGTGCGCTTAGTTGTGTGTGTATGTGTGTGTGTGTGTGATAAAACCCTTTCTACCCTACAACCAGTTGATTTCATTTTGATGATGTTTACATGGCCTGTACGCCTGTTGATGTTGTGGTTGCAGTGCGTCATCTCGTGGTACATAATTTCAGGTATAATGGCAACAGTATCATAAAAACCGTATTTATGTGAAAATTTGCATCCGCGCTATAGCACAATTTCTCAATATTAATTGTGAGTAACCCAGAGAGCAAACTAGATATACCTTTAAAATTAAACTTTGATGCTTTAAAAGTTGTTTTATACATCAACTTTAAATGATTTGAAGTTTTTACACTTAAATTTAATATTAGTAAATTCTGAATAATTAATAAAATTAATAATAATTGATGCTGTTAATTAGCTTCAAGCAGAACAAGTTCTGCAACTAGTAAGGCTTTGACTCAGCCGAACTGACTTTATCCTGGCTTAGCCTTGAAATAAATCTCGTCAGAGGCAATTGCCGGCCTCAGCTTGAGCTCAAACTCAGACCTAAACTGAAATCAATATCGAGCAATTGTTTCAAGGCACAAAAACGGAAATTAAATGCCAAAGATGTCCTACAAGTACAATAGGAAAATGAGCAGCAGCAACAAAAAGAGCAAACAAATATATATGTATACCCAAACACCCACACACATATAAATATACTGCGTAAAATATGGCGGTTTCACATTGATTGGCCAAAAAGAAATTCAGCTTCCGACCGAACGCTTTCTACCGTGTCCGGGCGTGTAAAGCCGTCGCTAATTAGATTTTTACAGGCGTACGACAACCAAACACACACACACACACACAATTACACTGTGTGTTCGTATGTGTCTGTACATGGCGGCTGCAGGTAAACTGCGGTCTGCCGTGGAAAACTTAATTAAGAAATTGCTCCTGTTGCATCAAGTCCCAGCCAAAGTGGGCAACACTGAGCACGGCATGGAGTGGCATGGTTGCTTGCAACGTACCATTGCCAGCGGTCGGTGTGACAGCGCATAGGAGAGAGAAAAAAAAAATAACAGCAGCAACAACAACAACAGCCGCATGGGCAGTGGAAAAACGCACAAAATCAATTATCAACATAAATGGGAAGGACAGATTGCGTGGAACAAAACTGACAACTGACAACTGACAGCAACAAGTTGACGACGAGGAGGGGATTTGCATTTTGCATGCGAGTGCTTTCAGTAGGGATTAGGTACAGTTGCTGCCAGCCTATCGACTGTGGCAGATGGTGGGTCTGGCTGGCCAATATATCATTATTTCTAGTTTAGTTGTATGAGTTTAAATACTCTAACAATTAGTTAGTCAGTTTCAGCTAAAAGCTATGTTCCACCAGGTCTCCTTTTATTAAGTTCAAATGAAACAATTCATTCATTCTAGTAAATAAACATTAACAAAATCATTTGGCAGTTAAAATACATTTTTGTAAGTTTCTATGAGCATCATGGTTTGTGGATATTCAGCCAACTAATTTTTCGCCCGAATTCAAATAGAATTTTCTATGCTCACGCTTTGCCGTGCGACTTGAAGCAAAAATGGCAAATGGAAGAATGAAAACTTTATAAAACTTAAATCTTGTTACGAAATTGCCAATATGAGGTGCGAAGCAAGCCAAGAAGTCACAAAAAATTGACGCACGCATACGTGATGTTACGTATGTGTATACAGATTGTGTATACGTCCGGAAGACGGAGAGACAGGCACACACACGCATACAGTTGTTGGTGAATCCATAAAAAGTCCTGCCAATGTATACAGAAGTGAGCCCTTCGGTACGTAAAAGGGTTTATGGCATAAGATATTCCAGGCAAAAAGTAAAAGTTCTCTTCAGAGCACGACCTTTTGTTGCATTTGCTGGCATTCTGTGGGAAAAGGTGACAACCACACACACACACACACACACGCACACAGACAGACACCGACCCAGTCGACTCCTACTGTATGAAGTGGGCCACTGGATTATGGGAATGTTGATAGCTGTATCACATACCTGTTGTCGCCTGCACCTGTACCTGTTGCTTGACGCTGTCGATAATCTTATCGGCGAGGCCTTTGTGCAAATTATGCGTGGCAATGTGCTGACTGAAGCTGCCAGTCGCCCCATCCCCACCAGCAGCATCAGACGGACCCCCAGCCATCGCTGCAGTATAGAGCACTTTGGCGGGCATAGGCGGGGGCGGGGGCGGTGGCGGTGGTGGTGGTGCTGACGGAGGTGCTGCAACTCTAGCCGATGTTGCGTGCTTTTCTGCTTGCTGATAGCGCACCAATTGCTCCTCGGCCAGGTCGGCGCGTGTTAGGGCCCGATGCAGCTGCTCCTCGAGTATTTCCAACTTAAGTTGTAATTTTTTTAGTTCATCGTTAGTAGTTTTTGCAATAGCCGCATCCATTAGGGTTTTCTACGTAAATGAGAGCGGGGGCGGGGACGGCAGAGCAGAGCCAAAGGTAACGAAAATTAGTAGAACAAACATTAGTTTCGACGCGTACGTTGCGTGTTAGTGCAGACAGCAATATGCACATATTTATTATAGACAGACAAAGAGAGAGAAAGATGCAGAATTATGGCGGAAGCGTAATGCAAGCGAGCTGCGCTTACGTTTTGCTCGGACTCCATCACCAAGAACTCGGAAGGTAACAACTTAAACCCAGTTGGAAACATTCCATGCAAATGTTGTATTATTATATTTAATATTATTATGTGTTGGTAAAATTAAATATCGTTGTGCCAAAAATCAGTTGCTCTTGAATATGCTCGACAACGGCTTGAATATGTCAAACACGCTACGTGTTTGCTATTGAATAGTTGGGTAGATAGAGGGATAGATCGAATAGATAGAGAGTTGAACCGTCACCAAGTAGACTAGAATATCAATACAATTGAACACTCTTCGCTTACCATTTCCACGATACGTTCGTTGTGCTCGCGCGCCTGATGTTGCACCTGGTCCGTGATCTGCTCGAACTCGACCTGCGACTGCAACGATGTAGGCGAAGGTGTTGCCCCCGGCTGTCCATCGGGAATATCGTGCATCTTAGCAGTTAGTTCATCATTTCGCTGTTTCAATCTAATCAAGGCGGCCTCCATTCTGCAAATATTTCCATCGAATGATCATTTTATTGAATTATCACTGTGATCCCATTCAAGATTCGCTTACTTTTGACTCGTCTCCACGCTCTCCTTCATGTTGTCGGTCAAGAGTTTGGCCACTTTGGTCAAATTTCCGTTCTCGGTGCGCAGCGTATCGTTCTCCTCCTCGAGTAGGTGTTGCTAAGCAGGCGAAGCAGGTGAAATGTTAGCTTTAGCGACTGCTTGGACCACCTGGTCTACTCACGTGCTCCACTAGTTCTGCTATCTTCTCATTGGCTTCATATAGCTGCAGCTCTACGGCGTTGGTGGCATGTTTGAGCGTTAAGAATTCGGACACTAGACGCTCTACCTGACCATTGGTAATGGGCACATCCTGGTTTGCATCAACATCGACCAGACTGTCCAAGTCGTTAGCAACGTCACCGCTATCCTGTTGCAGGATCTTCAACAGCTTGCGCCTTAGCTCCACTGAGCCGACCACTGAGGCACCACCCTGGTGTCCCACTTGCTTTTCGCGCATGTGATCCAATTCGGTAGAGAGACTGTTAATGGGCATCAAAGAATTTTGGATATTTGCTCTTCAGTTTACTCAATGGTTAAGGCTTGGCTCACTTGTTTATTTGATCGACCTTCATCTTGTGCAGCTTGTCGAGCGCATTGCGCTCGTTGAGTGTTTTATTGAACTTGACAGTGAGGTCCTTGATGTCTGACTCGAATTTGGCTTGCTGCTGCTGCAGCAGCTCCAATTGACCACATAGTTTTTCGTGTTGCGCCTGCTGCTCCTCCTGCGTGGTTTTGTCTATAGATATTAAATTAGATAGATACATATATCTATAAAATAGTGGGGCTGTCTAATTTACGCGATTCAATTTCAAGTTTGAGCGCTTTGTTCTCTTCCTTTAGCGCAATGTTATCCTCCAGCAGTGTAAACATATCATGTTCCGGATCCTGTTCATTGTAATCCGGCTCCTTCACGCGACTTCGACTGCGTGTCTTGGCCTCCTGCGTACGAAACTTGGCCACTGGGATGCGTCCACGTCGTTCCATGATAGCCTAGTACCTAGTATCTGAGAGATCGGGAAGAGAAGATTAGAAATTAGTGCAGTTCTCGTTGAATGTGTCTTAAATCTGCTTACGCTCGCAATTTAAAGCCTTAAGCTAAACTTCTTAAGTTAGATGCGATATGGAACTTAAATGCTGCCATCACCATGAATTCTTTGACTGCGAGTGAGTGAATGTGCTATGTAAATGTGAATGAGAAGGGAGTTTGTGGTTGTCCTTTAGGGTGGCCCCACATTGAAACGACTTTCAATTTTATTTCTTTTTTTTTTTTTTTTTTTTTTTTCATTTATTGTTATTTTTTGTTTATAATTGATGCCAGTTTATAGAGGTCCCCCTGTTCGGCCCCTTGCTTAAGGTCTTTATTATTTGAAAATTGTTTCTATTATTTTTTTTTAGTTTTTAGTTTTAAATTGAATTTGTTATTAATTTATTTTTAATTTTTTTGTTTTTGCTTCCTTGCTAAAAAATGCTCACAGTTTTGTTTTCCCAATTTATCCCAGAATTTGGCTACACATTTGAAATGCTTGCAAATATGCTAAGAATGCTAGAAGTTGTCAAAATTTACTTAGCTTGGCTTTAAACTATTCGCATTTCAGTGCAGAAGCGCTTCGACAATTCCTTAACTAATATTTTCTTCATTTAATTTGTTTACATTCGTATTTCGTATTTCATGCTAAATAATTTACTTTTATTTACTTTTGTATTTAATTTATTTTATTTGATTTCGCTTGTATTTTGCATTCTTCATTCTTTACCACTTTCAGTGTTTAAATCAGAAATCAAAATATTAACATAAAAAAAAATATATATATTGAGCTGTGAAATTCTTTTACTATTGAAGTATTAATTTTTTAAATTAATTTTTATCTTCTTTCATTCTTCTTTATACTTACAAAAATAACTAATTCAAGGCGGCTTAGAGCTCTTGGTTTTTGCTTTTCATTATTTTTTCTTTTCTTTTTTTCAGTTGTGAATATATAAATATAGTTTTTCAATTTGGTTTGAATTGCTAGATATTTTTTTCTGTTTCTTTTAAATTATATTTTATGTATTTTTTCTTTCTTCTTACAACTAATTTTAAATTTTATCTTTGGATAATCTTTTTTGTCATGCATACTAAATACATACATACTTTACATGTCTTTTTTTTTTTGTACCTAAACTTAAATTCTTTAATATATAAGTAATTATATAATTTTGTATACATGTATTTTGAGTCTAAGCCTCGAAATCTGTTTTCTTTTATATATTTAAAGATATTTTTTCTGAAGGATCTGCTACCGAATTTGAGCATTTTGCTTGAAGAAAGCACTTAAATCAAATTTCGAAATAAATAGTTTTTTTTATAAGAATATAAAATTAAAGAAACAATGCAAATTCATAAATTTTTGTACTGAAAGGTAAAAAATTGCTATTTGTTGGGCTTAAACAAAAGAATAGTTAGCTAATCATACAGATCCACTGTGAGATTTTTTACTTTTTCTTGAAGGAAATGTAGGTAAATTAAATACTGTCGAGTTTTCTATTCAGATAAATCATAGATGCAATATATACATATATATAGATACATGTGAGTATACATATATGTACATATTTTTAATATATGTACCCTGTCTTATAAACATATATATATATTATATAAATTTGATTTTGAGATTTGTTATTTTTTGTTTGCCGCCGAAATTCCATTTGCGTTTTTGTTTAATTTATGCTTTTTGTTTATTGCAATAGTTTATAATATTCGCTGTTGTCATTTGTTTGTTTGTTTTCTTTGCAATGTTCTGTGTTTTCTGTTTCTGTTTGTATGTGTTATGGATTATAGATGTGTATGTATATACGACCGCGCATGGTGTATGATTGAAGGGCCCAAGGGCGCTGTTTCAATTGTCATATACATAAATATGGATATTGTTTATTCATTTTGCCTGCGATTTGCTTCGATGTTGATGTTGTTGTTGTTATTGTTCCTGCATTGATTGTGGGACTGTTACATTTCCTCAATGAAAGCACGCAATTTGTCCATTAGTGCTCTCGGATAGTGCTCAAATTCCTGCTTGAACCACTTCTCAAAAGTGTCTCGGGATATTACCTCGCAATCGTAGAGCACACTCCAAGCGCTACAGATTGCCTCACCCGCAGCCATCTCATCGTCCAGCTCGAGGCTAAAGTGCTCCTGCAGTGCGTCGACTGTCTCCTCAATGCATGCCATCTCGTGCGTCTCTTGGGCATCAATGCAGAGGCGCAATAGTGGAGTGCAATCCCGCCTGAAGCTGTCCACATTCAACTGCAATTGCAGTTTATTCTTGTTTGTGTTATGGTTGTTGTTGTTGTTGTTCTTTTTGGTTGATTCATTGATTAAAGCGAAGTCGCAGCAGAGGAATTTGGTCAGGTGGCGCACAAAACTCGCATTTATATGCACATTGGTATTGATATAGTCAATGGCGGTGTCACTAGACAGCCGCAGCAGGTAGCTTATCCGCTCCACATGCTCCGCCTGGGTGCGTGTAACCTTTTGCCGCTGCATGCCAACTGTCGCTGTGCTGTTGGGCTCCAGAAATTGAAAGCTATTCGATTGCAAAAAGTCACGATACTTGCGAGCATCGCTCCAAAACAGCTGGCCTCGATCCAGCTTGTTGTCTATATGCCATAGCTTGTGTGTGTATACGGCGCCAAATTCTTGCACAAAGTAGCTGACAAAAGCGCGTACAAAACGTTCAGTGAACTGCGGATCCTCCAGCCAGCGCGGCTGCCAAATGTCCTTCAACTCGAGTCCACCTTCATGCATAATGGGTCCGAGAAACTCAAACACATAGGTCCAGCCATTGGGTACGTCCACCAGTAGATCGGGAAACTCCTCGCCGAAGCGGCTGTACGCCAGGTCAAAAACGGATTTGCCAAAAATCTCTTGTTGCATTAGATAGGAAATCGCATTTGCGCATGCCAAACGGTGCTGTCGCTTCACCTCCGCACGATGCACATAATCCATCAGGATGTAGTGTATGATGGCCACGGCCGCCTGCTGCTTGACGTTCGAATTACGCCAAATGTAGAGCACCTCTGGTTGCCATTCGCGGGTGCTGAGCACCTCTTCGACGAGCTTTGTGAGCATCTCCTGGCACTGTTTCGCATCAAACTCAGTTTTCGGGGTGGCCGGCTCTGAAGTCTGACTTCTGTTGGCTACTGTCGGCACGCCCACCTGTGCAGCCGGTTGCTGCTGATAGGGCGGATAGGTAAAGGAGCTCGTCGACGGCAAGCGCTTAAGTAAAGTGGGCTGTGCAGCTGGCGCAGCACTAACTGGACGATTGCTAGCATTGCGCCACTGATAATGTGAGGAATTGCCCAGCTTGGCGGTTGCAGTGTCGTCGTTGTTGCTGCTGCTGAAGCGCAGCTTATTGGGATCTATGCTGAGAGATTGGTTTTCATGCTGTTGAGTTTTGGGCAGCTTTTGCATAAAGTAATTGCCGCCGTCATTGTAACCATGATGATGGTGATGTTGCTTCTGCTGTTGATACTGGTAGTTGGACTGTTGCTGCTGCTGTTGGGGCAAATGACTGCCGCGCACGCTGTGCTGCTGCTGCTGCTGTGTTTTGGGTTCTTCGTGTTGCTTGTGACGCTGTCGACTGCCAGAGGTCGAGTGAGCGGTCACTGGCTGATCCCAGTTGCGTGAGCGCAAGTCCAGCACGTCCTGCATCATGAATCGCACACGGCTGCTTATTTTAATATTAAACTGATGCTGTCGACTGCCGGTGCTGCCGCCACGTGAACGCTGAACTATGTCCTGTATTCGGCGAAAGATCTTCTCGATGCGAGCACCGCTCTGGTATTGCTCGGGCGGGCCGGCTTCGAGCAGATGGCCAACAGTGGTCAGTAACTTACACATATACTCCAGCTTCTCCTCACAGCCATGTTCAAGCAGCGATTCGACGCAGTGCAGCACACGATCGCTGGTAAGTGATTGCAGCTTGAAAAGTTCACCTATGAAGCGCACAGTGCCCCAGGCTCGACGCCTGAACTGATATTCAAGGTCTTCCATTTCAGCCCGCAGTTCAATTTTCTTGGCCGTATCTTGGCACGCATTGATGCGCTCTTGCGTGGGCTGCAACTTTTTGGCTTTGGCATTGGCATCATTTACGTTCGATTCGAACTCGTGTTGAATGCGGGTTATTAACGAGCTGGTGAACAGAGATTTGTTCTCTGCCTTAATCTCATGGAACAGCACCTTGCAAAAGCGTGCATATGTAGGTGCGAAATTGGGCTCACTGATGGTCTTCTCGAAAATAAGCAGCATAACCTGTTAACAAGACATTTGAACTCAGTTATTAGAGGAATATTTCAAGTAAGAATTCGTTCCTTACATTTGTCATTTTGCGTTGAGTATCCATATTGATGCTGGACATTGCTTTGAGCAGCACCTCAAAGTTATCAGGAGTCAACTTATTGAGTATGCCACGAACTTTCTTCAGTACCACATCCATGTCGTCATCTTGGTCTGGCTCTGTTGTGTTGAACATTGACATACGACGCAGTGTCTCCGGCTGCCAGGCATTCTCGCACTCTGACAATTTAATCTCTTCCTTAAGCGATAGCTGCACACGTATTATATCCATATGTCGCTGATTGGAGCTACTCATTCCACCAGGTCCAGAGCTAATACCGCTCGAGTTGCCGGTCATTGGCTGATGTCCTTCATGATGCTTCTTATTCGGTCCATGGCCATGACCACGTCCGCGTTTACCTGTCCCATATTCCAACGATTCGTGCGCGTGCTGATACGGCTGTCCATGCGGATTGTGTCCGTGATGGTGTTGCTGCTGCTGCTGCTGCCCTTGTCGTGACACGAACAATTGTGAAATACAATCGCCTTTCTGGCAGGGAACTAGCGGAGGCTTCCGCGAATCGCTGAGCTTCGACAGCTCGCGCAGCTCATCAATGTTGTATCTTATGAACTTGCTGACACTAGCACTCTTTGAAGATGACGCCGACACTTTTCCAGCTGCTGCCCTTTGAAGGGATCCAGATGCTTTGCTCGTCTGATGCATGGGGGAGCTCTTTTTAATGGGTGGCTCAATCTTTTGGATGTTGCTCTTAGGCGCACAATCCACATTATCCTCAGACATTGTACTTTGAGAGCTGGTAACCTCAATTGGCTGTGAGCTGGACCAGGTGGAGCTGCATATGAAACTGGAATTATCAGCGGGCGCCTCCTCATTAAAGTCACCAAACTTCAATTCGCCCACATTGTTATCAACGCACTTGGCATTATTATCGTTCAGTTCGCCGTCAGCATTACTCTCAGTTATCTTGTCGGCTGGAGCAGGATCGCTTATCATGTCCGTATCGTCACACATGGAACTGCTGCTGTTTAAAAATTCTAGCTGTGTATCTGCTGGACTGGGTGCATCATCAAAACTCTTTTGAAGAAACTTTGCCACAATGTCCTCGTTGGCCATGTGTTTGTCCAGCTGTTGGGTCGAATCATCTTTATAGTCTGCTGAAATAATAATGGACGGGTAATTAGTTAAAATTGGACGTAATTAAAAATTTGATTATGTTGACTTACTTTTGTGTTCACTAGCAGCTGCATCGTTGTTGTTGTTATTGTTGTTGCTCGAATGCTGCTGCTGGTGCTGTTGCTGCTCTTTGGGTTTCTTGTCTCTTACGCTAGAACTTAAGCTAGAATTATTATTAGTTGCACTAAGCTTATCAGTCATCGTTGACGCCGCTTTGTCCTGCATTGCGGACGCGACTGCGGCTGTCGCTTTAGTTGTTGTCACAAATGTCATGATGGTGTCGGCGCCACCTGCAGCCTTGTTGTTGTTATTATTGCCGTTGCCGTTGCTCTTGGAGCTGTTTGTGGCGCCACTTCTGTTATTATTATTATTGTGGTTAGTGTTGTTGGCCGCGCTACCGCTGCCGCTGGTGCCGGCGCCGGCGCCGCTGCTGGCCGCTGTGGCGCTGCTTGTGATGTTCGCTGATGCCTTTTGCTTTTTCTTTTCCTGCTCCTTACGCTTTTGTGCCTTTCGCTGACTCTTCTTGTTTGATGGTACGGCCGCAGCAGGTGTTACCGGAGTGTATGCAGCTGGGCGGGCAGGACTTGGGCTTACCGCTCGGCGCATGCCTGATCCTCCCGCTGTTCCTGTGGCGCCGCCAACTTGCTTCGGCTGTTGCACCGATTGCGCCTTCTGCTGGTGCGTGGGCGTCGAAGTCGCTGAGGATGAAGTCGACGGCTGTTCCCCTTTTGCTTGCGACTGCTGGTTGTACGGCCCAGATATTCTTGGCTTTATCGTCTTTGTAGGACTCGACGGACTCGCATCGGATCCCAAGCTGACGTTCATTGCCTTTGGTGGATTCTGCAAGAGTGGTTGCTGCTGCGGCTGTTGTTGAGGAGCTGGATTATGTTTTATGCTTGTTAAAATGCTTATGCTCTTGTTGCTGCAGGTTGCTGCTTCGGCCACAGCATTGGCTATAGACGTAGGCGTGGCTGTGTCTGCAAAATATTTCGGCAATTAAACAAATACTCAAAATCAATTGATATATATACTAACTTTGTTTGTTCGCTGACTTGGGGCGCTGTTTCTTAGCCGTCGGTTCCTTGAACATCACTGGGGCGTTGGAACTGGCAGATGGAGCTGGAGCTGCTGCTGTTGATGCCGTTGATGCCGTTGATGCTGTTGATGCTGTTGCAGCTGCAGGCGGCAAATCGTCGTAATTTGCGTTTATGTTGCCGCAAGTTGACTGAGTTGCATTTTCCGAGGTGTTGTCCACTATAAATAAAATATTGACAATATTTTCAAATTACTAATTTAGAGCATTGTAGAGTAGTGAACATTTAAAAGTCGATTGGAACTAGCTTTGCAGACTGGAAACAAAAACATTTATGTTATTTATGTTTTCAAATGATCAATCAATTAAAAGTTAGCATTTCACTATTCATTTGATGAATCTAATAATCATATAAAATTTGGAGCTTTAAGTTATTTTGAAATTTTGTTTAGCCAATTTCCAGGCTACACATACTACAAACATCCTTCAATCGATTTTAAACTTGTTTATCTTACCGTCATTCAACTGCCAAAAGCTGAGGTGTTCGTCCGGATTGCCCGAGTGGGCCAGTATGTCCTTGACAATGACGCTGACTTTGTCTTCATCAGTCAGTGGGAGGGCTGCAGCTGCAGCTGAGTGGGTGGTGCTATGTGGTTGCAATGCTTTATCCGTTTGCATTTGATGATCCACCATGACGCCGGTAATTAGTTGAGTAGAGGACCCTGAATCTGAGATGCCGGACAATTGGTATTGGGGCAGGCTGCTCTCGCTTCCCGTGCTGGATGTCAGTGTGCAGTTCGAGTCTTTCTTGATGAACACCGATGACTTGGGGTCCAACACATTCTCTTTAGTGTCTGGATGTATGATGGGTATGGCATGCCGGCGCTCCTTCACCTTGTCATTCCCAGCCAGCTGGGAGGCCGTTGTCAGCGAGGTCGGCGGAAAGCCTGCAGCCACACCAGCAACAGCAGCCACAGCAGTGGGAGCTGTGCCCTGCAAATGTGGTGGATAAGTGTGCAGCCCGGTTGCGGGAGCCGTTGGAGCTGCGGTCATGCCTGCAGCCGCTAGCATCGGAGCTGTCGTCAGGTTGGTCTGCGGTACTATCGGTATATTATATGCCGGCGGAATATGAAACGCTGCTGTTCCGTTGAGTGGCGTGCTTCGCGGATTCAGAATGGGCGCAACAGCGGCCGCTGGAGCGTTGTTAACCAGTGTGGGACGCGGTTGAGGCGCTGCCGTGGGCACCGCATAGGTATAATAGGGCTGCTGGGGTGGCGTCGAGCGTTGACCACCGCGAATATTCGCACGGTGTGCGCCGTTGCCCCCTCCTCCGCCCACCACATTATTGTTGCTGTTGTTATTCAGCGGCGCTGGCGGCAACGTCTGGGGATAGTAGGTTAGCGTCTGCTGTGGGCCTGCATTGGGGGCGGGCCCGGCGCTCACGACGTGCTGCTGCCCAGGCGGCAGCTGTTGTTTTTGTTGACCTGTTGCCGCATAGAAGGTGCCAGAGGGCGCTGCCGAGCCTCCATTTGGGGCATACGTTATAGGCTGTGCGCCAATCAGTCCGGGATGATTTAAGGGCAAGAATGTTGCCGAAATGTAGGTGGTGCCAGCCCCAGGCCCATTGGCGCCTGGGGGCGCGATCAGACCAGCTGATGGCGTAAAGGTTGGCGGCAGCGCCGGATTGCTGAGGGCACACACCAGGCTTGTATTGCTGCTGACTGGCGTAAGGACGCCATTCGCATGCGCGTGACCATGACCATGGTTGTGATGGTTATGGCCATGGGCATGCCCCAGCGAACTATTGCTGGCGGCGCCACTCAGTTGAAGAGCGGCGCCACCGCTGCTGCCATTACTGCTGCTGCTGGACGAGTGCTGCGGGTGGCTCACATACGACAATGCCGGTGGCTGTTGGTTTGAATAGAAGAAAATCGGCGGTTGGTGTATATGATGTTGCTGCTGCTGCTGTTGCTGCTGCTGCTGAAGATGTTGCTGCTGTTGTTGCTGTTGATGCTGCTGTTGCTGCTGCTGCAGTTGTTGATGTTGCTGCTGCGGTAGAGGATGGTGGTGATGATGAAGATTACCTAGATTCGAGACGCCGCTCTGCTGCGGTACAAACACTGCGTGTGCCGCCTGCTGCTGCTGCTGCTGCTCCTGTTGCTGATGTAGATGGGAAACGCGCGCCTGTTGCTGCTGTTGGGGCGGCTGTTGCTGCGACTGGTTTTGATGATGGTGGTGCGAATGTGAGTGGCCGTGTGACGTCTGGTGGTGCTGGGTCTGGTGGCTGTGGTTCTGCTGGTGTGTTGACTGTGGTCTGTTTCCCTTCCCACCCCCTCCCGTTGGCATGAACATAGGAGGACCTTCGTTGGATCTAAACAGAGGCATGCGTGACCCACACACACACAGATAGTGTGATTGATTGTGTGTGCGTGTGCGTGTGTTACGCAGTCCAACAGATAGAGAGATAGAGAAAGAGAGGGAGAGAGGAGCACACGATCATGTGGGGACAACCACAAATATCGTTTGCGCCATGGAGCAGAACAAAATGTACAAAATTTAATTGTTAGTAAGATGAAAATGGGAAATAATGAAAAGCATTAAGATAAAAGCCATAGGTCATCAAATGTGGTGAATGATCGTTCGAAATTTAAGCAAACAAGCGCATGCAAATTATTGAAAATATAGAAAAAAAAACTTACAACTAAGAAACTCAAATAATAAAGGATAAATACATTTAAAATGTAAATCTTATAGTAATGATTGGCGATGATGCAATGCCAGAAAATTTGAAAAGCATTTATAATAATTTATTAGTTATGTCTAATTTGTAGTCTTCTGCCAATTAGCGAGTGCTTACTGTACCTATCGCTTTCACAGGTTAACCAAAGACCAAGAGACAATAAGATTAATCGAGTTCTTTCAACGCAATTGTTTTCAATTGCAGTGAAACCAATCAATACTAATTTTGCAAACTGAATTGGAATTTAAAATAGCATCAAATGATTTTTATAAATATTGTAGAAATATGTACATATATGCTATAAAGAAGAAAAATCAACAGAGAGGTAGCACAAAAGGTAGCATTTACTCTTGAAATTTTGCAATTAATTGAGCTTATGCATTAGCATGATGTCACGTATGGGCGTGTGATATAGGAAAATACACATACACGCACACACATAAATACATACAGCTGTTGGGGCCCACACAGTTATCGGTTGCTTTTATCAAAATTTATCGCACACCATTGCAAAATATAGCCACCACATAATACAGTAAATAAATAAATAAAAGAGAGCTAACCGTTATGATGACACACGGAGAACAACAACAGGTGGCGCTCTTAGTCAGCGGTTTGTCAAACAGCAACCACTATATACATATGTACATACCACTAAATATGCCAGCAAAAGCAAAAACAAAAACCGTTTGGCGTGGGAAGCTCAGTTACTGTACGAGCGCGTTTCCCCATCTTCAGCAGAGGATGCGAGCAATAACTGGCACAAATGGCCGCTGAACTGGCTTTCGCAGGCATCTCTCGGATATTTTTTTGTGGAAAGCAAACCTGTTTTTGTTTCTGAACAACAGTAACTATACTATTTTCATTGCGTGTCTGCATGTTAGCAAAGAAAAACCGAATTGAAAACCCGTTTGAGCAAAGTTTCGCACTTGTCTTTGTTTGTAAACAAAAACCAGTTGCGGCCCCAATGTGTGGGAGTCTGATTGGAGTTTGGTTCTGATTGGCGATAGGAATTTCTAGCACATTACAATATAGGGACTGGGAGCATCACAATAGCCAAATACACTAATTTCTCAACTTAAATTATTTAAAAAATGGGTGTATTTACTTACCGCTTCCTGCGCTATGTTTATCGCTGCTGTTTCGCACCACCGTTTACGACGTTTCTGCCGCCAACTACAGTTGCCTTTGCTCCTTTTTCTTTTATTGTTTTCTGTTGTGGCTGCTGCTTTCTACAGGCTCGTTGTCGTTGCAATTGTTTTAGTTTTCGCTTTTGCTGTTACCGTTGCCGTTGCCGTTGCAGAGCCCCTCGAGGGCGCAAAACAAAGCGACGTGCGTTTGTCTCTTGCTTAGAGAGTAGTGTTCCACGATGCCTTCTCAATTATTTACTTCGGCTCTGGGACTCCAATTTGCCGTAGTACGCAGACTCTAATGATAATTCAACTCTTTCTCGAATTTGTTTCGCTTTGTTTATAATTTTGCGAGCTGCCGAAGTGCAGACTCAGGACTTTTTAATGTGACGAAAATTTATGCGTTTTATTTTTATATATATATTTTTATGTAGCCGCGTTTGATTTTATTTATTTATTTTTCTTTTTTTTTTATTTGTTTTCTTGAATTATAAACTTTTTGCATGTATAATTAACAAAATGCAAATGTTAACGCACATCGACATTTAAGTGGACGAAAAACGAGCACGCACATATATACGTTCAAAATATAGAAATAAGTACTGCTAAAATTTCACGGTAATTTTCTCTATAATTAAAAGAAAAAGATAAACGTTTGTTATAATTTTGCATGTACAATTTGGTCAATTCATGGAACTGTTAGGCATAGCTTGCTATATTGTTTTCGATAGAATTTGTTTTCTTCTGTCTCACACATACACACATATATTCACACAAATCATATATACATAGACAAGCACACACACAAAGAAATTTTCGTCGAGGCGTTGGTTTTTTTTCTTTTCTTTTTTTTTGCCTTTGATGCGTTTGCTTCTCGACTGTCGGGCGGTCGGTTAGTTGGCTGGTTGGTGGTACTTACCCGCCGCCCAAAGCTGCTACACACAGGCACACATCATAAAATGAACGAAAATGAAAAAATTGGGTTCCACGTGGGGAAAACGCCGAATAGGTACCCGCGGAGTGTCTTTACATTAGTTCATTGTTTTGTCTGTCTTTTGTTTACAGTTTTGTTTAATCTGTATATCTTTCTATTACAAATAATTTTGTAAAATTTAAAAGCACTACAGAAACACGTCCGCTCTTGGTAGCTGCACTAACAGAATGTTATCGATTATGTCGATTGTGAGTCGTATAACATATGTTTTTGGCATCATAAAGCTAACAGTCGCCGACCTGTTGTTAACAGAAAGCTTACTGTTAATCTGTCTTCAATCTCTAATCATTCAACATGGTTTGTGCTTTAATTAAATAATTAAACACATAAATGTATAAAATGTAAACAGTATAAGATTCCCATTTTTTTAATATATTACTGCTTTAAGTTGGCTGTAAATTCATTAATTTATTTATTTTTTAAACAAAGATAATTTATAACAGAAATTAGACTATCGATTCTTGATAAATATTTAAATATTTTAAGCGTTTCAAAATTTTTAATTACAAATATATAAGTAAATATACATATATTTTTGACATTGATGTAAAGTATAAATAAATAACTGGTTTAAACTTGAAAGCATTATTGTAAATAATATTTCGATAGTATCGATACTTGTAATGAACGAATGATGAAAGTTACTCGTTTTCAAATTGTCGTTAAGAGATTGCGTGATTGCAGACCAAGCAATCGAAAGCTGGTTGTTATAGCACTCCCACGTGCCATTTAGCTAAAATGTCAAGTTGATTTTATAAAAAAAAAGTTTTTTACTTTTTTTATTGTTTTGTTTCTGGCAATGACTTTCAGCATTCTCATTATCATTTGAATTATAGCTGTTCTTTATCAGACAAATTTGCAAAGTCCACTTCTACTTAAACTGTATATTGTCCTTTTATTTATGTGGATATGTACTAAATGCCGGTATATACAAATGTGAAATGTATATATATATATATATATACATATCATATATATATACATATCTGCGTTATTTTTATATACTTGATATATGCGCATGTCCATTTTTGCTGCTTCCAATGCGTAGTAAGCACCCTGTATGGCCTTGATGGAGCTGAGAACTGGAATGCTTACAGTATTTACGCGCCCAATTCTTTGGGGTCATAGTAAAAATTGTCTGTCCCCATATCGGCATTTTACCGGATATGCCGGCAGAAGCGCCATTGCTGTTCGTCCTCCATTTTGTATATACATATGTATATATGTTAGTCTGTATACATCTTATATATAAAAATCCCCGGTCCGCGCTGTCACAGGCTGTGTCGCATTTCTGGCCGGTCTAGTTGAATGTTTTTTTATCAGTTGAATTGCATTGCTAGTTTTTTTGAGTTGCCCTGCTATCGGAATGTCAGAAACTCTACTTATTGCAATTTAAAATAACCCTATTACCAAAGCTTACAACCGCAAACGCAAATATGTAAAGTTAGGAAAGTAACCACAAGAAACACAAACATCAAGCCACATACAAACTTTGGAGCTTCGTATATTATTTACATTGAATGTCCTTAGCAAAATATTGTTTATATTGGAACAAAGAACGTTTACCTATGAACTTTTAAATATAACGACATTTTCAAGCGCCATCTATATGTGACCACTTGCTCATTTCTAGTGTGACCAACATATCGACTGTTGCGAATGATAATAATTATTTGTTAAAATTTATTTTTCTCATTATAGGCTGACATTAGTGGATAAAACGTCTGAAAAACATTGAAGTACTTAGTTAAATAATCAAATAATCAAAACATTTGCAATATTATCAAGCATGCGCGTTTTCTCTGAGTGTAAAAAATACTAAGCACATAAAAATCCTAAAAAAATACCAAAAGCCACAGCAAAGCAGCTTAGCGCCTATTGGAATTTACGCGGCACTCAGTCTGAGGCCGAAGCTTGTTCCTGACGCGCGTTTTACGAGCCGCGGCGTTCAAATCGCTATTTTCCGTTTCATTATTTCCCTCACACACATATTTAAAGTTTTAAAGAAATTACAGCAAAACAACTAACAAAAATTAAAAGCCCATTTGTTTAAAATAAAAAAAATTAAATACTTTCGTTCACTTGATTACAAGATTTATAATTTAAAAACTGTGAAATGAACGAAGCAAAATAAAAAATCGAACGTTATAAACGTTCTCTTGCAATGGGCATAGCCCAATTAAAAACATTTTCTTTTTTTTATACATATACTTTAAATAAATATAACAAAACGAATAAAAGTAACAAAAATCATATATGAATAAGTTAAATAGTTCATTTAATATTCGAAATCATAAACAAAGTGAAATATGTGCAATAATTTAGAAAAATTTCTATAAGAAATTTAATAAGCTACAGCAAAACTTAATCAATATCAATGTAGTTAGTGAAATAAAAAATAAAAAAAAAATAATAATAATAGTAATAATAAACGAAGACAATAGAAATCTCAAACACTTTGTAGACCAATCATACAATTGGAGCCAAGCATTAAAAAGATTGAATCAATATAAAGACTTTTTAATACATTGAATTGGATACGAATCACATCAAATCATTTACCGCCAACTCGAACAAATCTCAACGCCCACCAAGTCACAGAGAGAGAGAGAGAGAGAGAGAGAGAGAGGGAGAAAAAGAGAGAGAGGGAAAAGGTACGGAGAGAGAGAGAGAGAGCAAGTGATAACAGCTTACAAAAACGGAATTAATTTGAATTAAAGCAGAGCCCACCTGAAATTCAAACCCAATACAACCTGCCAAAATTATTTATATCCAAAATTACGCCCACGGAAGCGCATGTCCAGAGTCAATAACAATAACAGCAGCAGCCAATTTCGTCGGAATATTTGTTTTTTAACTTCTGGTCGCATTGGAAAAAAATAAAGAAATATTATTGAAAAAAAAAAAAAAACCAGAGCTTTCAGCATGGAACAGTCTTCAGTGTGGATAAAAACGCGTCGTCAGGAACAAACTGAATCAGCAGCAGCAGCAGCAACAACAATTGCAACAATGTCTAGATCCAGGATAACAACATACGCAACGGCAACACAAGGATTAAACAGCATTTGGTCGCAGCTCTATGCTTTTGTTGTTGTTGTTGTTGTAGCTCTTTCACTGCTGCTAAATTGCCAGGTCTGTCAAGGTGAGTAACACATTCTATTTATACATACATATGTACATATCTATGTTTCTTTGTGTGTGTGGGTGTGCGTGAGCTTATGGGTGGATGTATTTTAATAACTGAATGCAAGCTGTAAGTACTTGTAGTCAGAGATTAAGAAGAAAGGAAAATGATTTTAGTCGCTTAGTGAACAAATACATATTTCATATTTTTAGCTCAGCTGGCAGACTCAATGAGAGTCTAGACAATATTTGAAGAGTCTCGAAATTCAACTGTTGAATATAATTGAAACATTGACAACATAAAAACAATTATCCATCAGCTCAGCGCACCTCAGTTCAGGTTCTTCAGCTCTTCAAAATTGGCCAAGTGCAATTAAAGCAGCCGCCGTCGAGTGTTAGTTCCACAAAATTATGAACACCCAAACCTTAACAATTTCTACCCTGCGTTTGGAAAAAATAATGATGCGTCATTTCCATAGCTAACTATTATAAAGTTTTTTTTTTTTAACAACTGTGTGTACTCTGTGAGAATTATTATTGTGTCTACAATTATTACACAGGTCAACAAAATTAAAGAACCAACCCGTACTTTTCTGAGAGAGCCTTCAGGGCATATGCATATCCGAATCTGAAAATAGAATAGTCCCATTGCTTCATTATGGATATTCAAATTTTTGGCTAATAAATTCTGTTGGCTAGTGTATCATTAATATCTTCAAATATTCATTAAATTCATGGTTTCTCCAAATTGATTATGTCTGAGAACATTATTATAAAAAGGCAAAAACATCGTTTGCAAAAAAGTTACACGAAATGTTTTTTTTTTTTATTTTGTATATAATTTTATATAATCTTAGATGGATGTGTTTAAATTCAGATTTGAAATGTGGTTGACTGTTAAGGTGTTCCGATTCATAAGCAAGTATTATGAGCTTGAATCAAGTACTTTTACTTTTTTTTTTGCCTTTCATTGCACAGAGCCAACTCAGTGAATAGATGTAATTTTTTTATAAAGTAAAAGCCAGTTTAAAGTTTTTATAATTAGGTATAACGAACGGAATTCATCCAACAAATATATTGCATGCCCGCTGAGCTTTATATATATATACATTGTCTCGCTGTGACAAGATTTCCATTTTTACGTGAATTTAGCATTTATAAGTAAAGATTGTAAATGTTAAGTTGGAGCTCAAAGAATAGCCATTGTTTCGGAACACAAGTAATACATGGGCTTTGGCCAGTAAATTATCATAATTAACACCCATTTAACGGGGGCTCGGGTGAAGGTAATTTCGGTTCATTGAACCGTTGGCATCATTGGGCTGGTCACGCTATTGGTCGCTTCGATGCCCTTTTCTGTTGGGCTTTTAACCATTATCTATGTAAATATGTAACTGCTATAACGTGAATCCAAAACTTCATTTCGATTTCATAATACATATGCATATAAATCTAACTAATCGGCTTTTATGTCTCTGCACACATACTGTATCACATAGATAGTTGTAAAATTCTTATATACACATATATATAGTATTCTTGCTGGAATTTGAATTATATGTAAACAAATTTTGAAAGAGATGTGAACTAATCTGAATGATGTATGTGAATCCAAAAGTTTGTCTAACTTTCGAACTTTAGCAAAAACTAATATACATATATGAATATAAATTATATTTTATATCATAATATACTTCTTATATTTAAGAGAATAATACTGATATAATAATAATACTGCAACAGCAATATATATCAGATCAATAGATCTAGTTTACTCTACATATTGAATATTGAAATATATCAGCTTATTAATATCCAGCTAAATTTTTAAAACTAGTAAAAAATTAAAAATTCCACTTTAGTATTGTGTTTGACGGATCCGCTTGATATTGCCCGACATTGATATTGGCCTTTCGCAACAGTTTTTCTACTAAGAGATCATTTCTAGTTTTAGATTGAATAATTTATTGGTTCTTGTGTGATTCCTACAGGTTCCATTTGCGAACCATTGCTGAAGCTTTGGGCCTATATATTTTAGCTGTAAGCATTATTTATGTCCGAAAATTATTCTTAGCATTCGCGTTCGAATTTGAATTATGCTAATCACTCCGATAAGACATTAGAGAGGCCAATGAACCGAAACAAGCTAAATCATTCATATCGGTGCGAATAAGAGCTGATGGCGTTTGTTTCCTTTTCAGAAATAACGAAATGTGAGTACTGTCAGCAAGCGAATCGAGTGATATGGAAAACTGGTTGACGATTGTCTGCTCATACTTGGCACACAATTCCCACAAGCACACACACGCACACACATACACACAGACACTTACCGAAAACTTGGCCCAAAAGTAAGACAGCAAAAGTTGGTTGCGGCTGCCAAGCGGCGCACAAACAGAAGTGACTCGGCAGCTGGGTCAGTCAGCCCATATGCCGCTTACGTAATACAAGTCTTTTTAAACAGTGAGAGAGAGAGAGAGAGAGATAGAAAAACAAAATATATATATAAATACGAGCTCGAAACTGTTTAAAAAAATGAAAAGCGCAGTCGCAGTCCGCAGTTGCTCTGGCTGAGGCTGAGCCGAGCTGAGGCTGAGGCTGAGCTCAACCGCATTGGCATGCAGTTGTTCATCTTGGCGGCTAATTAACATGCAGCAAATATTCGCAAAAAAAACGAAAGTGCGTATATAGAATTACGTAGCGAAGTTATACATACATATATGTATATACGTATATAATATATAGCAGCAGCAGGCGTGCTTAGTGTGTACAATGACAATATTGAGTACCGGCTTGTCAAGTGCTCAGCTGAAATAGTTTGCAGTGCTCATGAATTGATAAATGGCGAATGTCTGCTCAACTGCCTTAGACTTTCAAATTCAAAATTTATATTGAGATTGCTCAAGTTGCTTTAGTACTCGTTCGCCTAGTCAGGTGAATGTAATCAGGGCTGGCAGCTCAACAAATAGCTCAATAAATTCCCAAGCTCGGTGAAAGAAACAAACGATTTAAGTATGAATTAAAAACCTATATACCTACATATATATATACATTATTTCTATAATATTGTATTTATTATGTTAATTGGTATACTCTTGGGAGTTTTTACTGTAGCGCTAAACATAACCATGCCATGCTCAACATATAATAATAATAATAACAGTTCTTGATAAATTTATAAAAAAATAATTCATAAAAAATAATATATACAAAATAATAATAATATATTAATAAATATTTAAATATTCAATGCTCTTAATTGGAATTAATCAAATAAACATAATTCAACTGACAGTAAATTATTTTATTTCAAAATAAGCTGCATATCTTTAGGCTGAGGTAAAAACTGCTTTCTACGATTTGAGTGACTTAGTACTGTTGATATGCCCAACAATGATATCGGAAAATAGATCTGAAAGCATTTGGGTATTCTGCCAGTCTACACATTATGTTGGAGCTTATTGCTTAGTATCTATAATTCAGTAATTATGAAATACTCTGAAAACGAAGCCTTTGCTCCCTACATAAATTAACATAGATAAATACAGCAGATTAAATTTCTATTCATATGATTACTCACTCTTGCAACAGTTATTAACTTTAGCTTGCAACAAAGTTGTGATTGCACTTTGCTTTGAGTCCATCAGACAAAAGATGTGGAAATCAATAGCAATATTAATTACAATTAGCTAAGGTTATTCTATTGTTGTAGTCGGACAATTGAAATTTTAAGCTCGTCTTGATAGTTTCTATACATCACAAGCTGTTGCCTTGAGTATCACTCGACAGCTCCAATTGAACAGTCGGCGTTGCAAACTGATTAAAATAGCCCGTTGCTGGTTTACATGAATGGCACATAGAAAATTGTTATTTTTGGATAAGATTGGGACACTACCAAAAGTGGCATTGAAATGGCGCTGACAGGCTTATCGGGTATTTGCAGTCAACGGCGTTTAACAAACGATGGCCATAAAACTAAGCGCGCTAACTTCCAGCATCCAATGTAATCTAATTCGCACCAGCCACTCACCCAGCCAGCGTGAGCGTGAATGTGGAAGCTTGGGGCGCGGGTCGGTGGATGCTGTGGGTCTGCGAATGTATCACTTTTCACGTGTGTAGTTCTAATGCCGCGCAGATTGTCGAGCAATTTGCAGAGATTAAATTAGCTGAAGCGTGCGCTGCCAACCAAGAAGCAATTTCTGTTTTTTTTTTTCGGGTTTCTACTCTTGTTGTTGTTGTTGTTGTGTTGTTGTTGCGAGTGTTGCTTCTGGTAGCCGTGAATGCTATATGCCGGTGCCTGTGGTTGCATACGAAACCACCACCGAAACAGACGGCGTGCAGAACCGAGGCAGCGATGTCTGCGCAACTTTTGTGTGGGTGTTAATGCGCCACGCCCCTGCCCTCATCTCACCAGAGCCCGACTCAGCTGTGCCCGAGCCCAAAGCATTATACGCCCTCTCTGCCTCTCGCCTCTCGCCGCCGCCGTCTCTTTCTATCGCATTCTATGTGATATTGCCGCGCAAAATTTCTAATCTGCTCTCTGGATTTACGAATTGTTCAGCTTTCTGCTACGCAAGTTTTAGCTTCCAACTCCCAACTCCCAGCTCTCGACTCTCAGAGGCTGAGCGGACTCCCCGTCGACCGCTGTGAAACTTTGTGCACATATTTGAGTTTCATTTCGTTTGTGGTTTGGTTTTTAGGCAACATGAAGTCATAAAATTGAAATAAATATAAATGCGAGCTACGCTGACTTTGCACTGAGCAGTCCCGCCCCTTTCTCAAACACTGGGGGGGAACGGGCGATTGGCGTGTAGCTTACAAATCTCCCACGAGTGTTGGCTTACCAAAAAACAATTCAAGCTCAAATCCGGAAAGAAACAAATGATATGTTTGGGACCAAAGATTAAATATTGTGGCATTGTGAAGTGGAATTCTCACAAGGGAAGATATATAAGCAAGTAGTAATCGGATCAAAAATAAAACTAGGCTAGCCGGAAGTGAAAACTACTCATGAAAATC